GAATGAATGATGATGCAAACTACACAATTATAATTAATAACAAAAAATTAAAAGTGCAGGGAAAGAAGAATTGCAAACTTGATTTTATACTGGTTCGGCCAATCCTGCCTACATCCAGTCCTCAAGTCTCCCACTTGAGATTTCCACTACTCTTGTAAACCTTACAAGAATTGAATCCTCCAACACCTCGGAACTCCCTTTCCTTGTGTTGAGATTCAAATTAGAAACACCATCATTGTAAACATATTGACACCAATATATAGTGTGCCTGTGAGAATCCAACTATGATCATCCCTATTGTTACAATGAAGCACCAGAAAATAGAATGGTATAGTGTAGTATCTGAACTCTATTAGTGGAGCTGGTACAAGAATAGCTGCAGTAGCCAAGAAGTATGCCAATAACCATATTTTACTTTTAATTTTTCCTGTTTGACAAAGGATAATTGTAAAAACTCAATGTTGCATAAATTGATGATTAGAAATCACGATTTTCTTATTGACGCGTCTTGCAAGAGAATTGCACATGTGTGTTGAGATTAATTTGAATCAGCCAATGGTGGGACATTTCTAGTTACGCAACTGGTTCAAGGTGGAGTATGAAGGTCTTTAGTCCATGGGAGGAATGAGTGGTTATGTTTGGCGGTTAATGCTAATCCTAATCTTTCTATTCGGAGAGTCTGGTGGTGTTACTTGGAGGATTTTCAAAGATGTGTTAACAGTTCTTGGATGTTGGTGGAACATTTTAATGACATTTTCTTGTTGTCAGAGCAACGAGGTGGAGTGTTCTTATATCTCCATGCTTCCAGTTTTGTAGATTGTTTAAATACTTCCCTGTAATGGACTTGGAAGCATTTAATGGTTCTTTCATGTGGCAGATGATATTTTTTTTATGTTAACCTTTAAGAGGCTTGGTAGAGGTGTTTGGGACAATGATTAGCGACTAACTTTTCATGAGGCATTTATGGAAACCTTGATTAGAAGGCACACTGATCGTAATCCCTTCTTGATAAGATGTCATCATTTTATGCCTAGATAAAAGGAGAAATAATTATGATTCCGGTGTACACATATGGAGATTATGCCCAGGTTGTTTTGTAGGCATGACACAAGGAGGGTGATGTGTTGAAGGCACTATCAGCAATGATTCTATCACGTTTAATAAGGAGGTGTTTGGGAATATTTTCAAAAAGAAGGAGGACCTTGAGTCTCTTCTTAAAGGGATTCAACGATTGATCAAAAGGATTGACTCAACTTGCTGGGATATAACTATGTATAATTATTTTCATTGTGATATTGATATTCTTTAATTATTTTTAATTATCTTTTTTGACAAACATTTATTAAGAAAATATATTTATTTATTTAAAAAATTGTAAAATTTGTTAAAAAATATTTATAATTTTCTTTGAAAATATTTAAATAAAATATATTTTGAATATTTTCATTTTCAAAAATTAGACATTGAGAAATTAATTTATTTTCTAAATTTTAAAATTTTAAAGTGAATTTTTTTAAGTGAAAATAGAAACTAAAAATAAACAAAAACAGTTTTTGAAATCAAAACATGTAATTTTTTTTTATTTTTCTCTATCCAATGTTTAATTCATAGGGTGAAAGCTAATAATTAACACTAATTAAAAAGATAGGAGTGAAGAAAGTTTTAATATAATTATAATGACATTTTATTTGATCTTTTAATTTTAGTTCTTATGAGCATACTATGTTAGAAGAATAGTGTACTGATTACATAGAGGTGAAAAATATGAGATAAAAGGACAACACGTTAGATTAAAATTTATATAAAACATGTTTCTAAATCAATGTTATCATTATATGATCTTTAACACAATTTTCAACAAATCATGCAAATTTTAAAATATATATCAAATCATCATATTAACCATAATACATTCTCAAACATAATCATAAATTTGGGAATGTCCTAATTACAAATAGTTCATTAGCTAATTTATGCATTCATAACCGAAAAAGAAACATTGTTATATACAATATTTTCATCAAGATAATAATAATTTACGATAAGTAATCAAAATTTGGGAATGTCTTAATTACAACATTTGCAATATATTAAAAAAAAATGATTTAACTATTCACAATAATATACAAATTCTTTGATGAAGCATATCACCATCAAATATATATGCAATACATACATATTATTATTATTATTCGACTACTATTTTAATTTGTAGCCAAATAAATATCAAGAAACCAAAAGGGAATAAAAATATAAAATTTCTAACATATAGCTAATGCCAAAAAATACATTAAAGACTAATCGATGTGAGTCATTTTAATAGATTTGGAGAATGGGCATGGAATGGGTGAGAGGTGGTGAGGGACATAATAGAATGGATTGTCGAGTATGGTGAAGAGGTTGCAGTGATGGCATAGAGGATGTCAACAAGAGAAGAGACAATATTGGGGTAGACGAGTTTAAGCGTGGTCTTGTCCTAGACCATAAGGTTGAAGGCCTTGCTTGAGAGGGAGAGATTCATGTTAGTGTCACCTCAGAGGAGGTGAAAATAATAGAGGAGAGGAATATAGACATGTCACAGTTGATATATTAGATCCACATCCAATGACAATGGTGGGACTGTCAATCTGCTTGGCTAGCGTAGAAGAAACTAGATTTTCAAAAGTGAATTTGTAGTTAAGCATTTGAAAGTGGATTTGTTGTTAGGGTTATGAAGGTATATATTAAAAAAAGAAAAAGATTACAGAATGACATGTTAGCATTTTTGCTGACATGACAATGCCTAAAATTTATTTTAAAATGATGTGTCATAGTAATACAAAATAACTAAACTTTTATATTATAAATAGATTATTTAATTTTGTTAATTTTAATTTAAAATTATCTATTTTTCTATAGTATATACTTCGTTATTGGGACTTGATATTAAAAATAGAAAGTGTCATTGAAGAATGAGTCTTAATCAAATGAATGATATTTTAAAGAAGTTATCATTAAATAGTGTAAAATTAATTAGTTAATATTTACTTATATTTAGGTCTATAATTTATGAGTTGTTTTCTTTATATCAAATTCTAGAGGGAATATTATTTACTTTTAGTACTATTATATGATTTTAATTTTTATACATTTATTAATGTATAAATTTGTATTCTATCAATTAATTAGAAATACCTTATATATAACATTTGAAGTAACTAGTACATAAATTGATATTTCTCAAATATATGATTGTTCTAGTGGAAAGTATAGAACATATCGACAAACTACATTTATGACAAAGCAACACTCAAGTGATAATAAGGTCTTATTGAACCTTAAAAAGGATGATCTAAATAGAATCAAACTATTTTGGTTGAGCTCACTAAACCTGATAGGCCAAATGGTCTTAAGTCAGGTTAACCTGCAAGCTTATGGGATAGTCCATTTAATTAATAATTAAAATAATTTAAATTAACATAAATTTGTAATGTGTTATAAAATAATAGAATAAAATTTAATAATTCTACAATAGTAATAGTCTTTCATTTTTTTTTTTGTATTTGCTTTTGCTTACAAGTTTAGAGTTACAGTTAGCCACTATAAGAGTTTTGCCCCTCCCATAATCCCATTGTCCCCTTGAAGGCTTGACTCCATGAGTCATCATTTCTGTTCCCTTTATCGATGAAGATGAAGATGTAGTCATGCTCGTGTTTGTGCTCATAGGATGATGATAACGACTCATTGTCACTGTTTAGAGCACAAAATTATAGGGCACCACTTCATTCTGTAAGAAACTTTCTTTTTCTTTATATATATATTTTTTGCTCAATTGTTCAAATATATTTACTATCAAATAAATATTTTTATTATTATGATATTTTTTTATCTTATTTCAGTTATCATCTTTTAGTTAATTTATTGCCTATTGTTGGTGCTACCCTTGATTCCAACTTGTATCAAATACCAAGTATGTTATTTTATTTTTTTAAGGCTTATATTGTGTGCATTGAGAATTGTAAATTGATTTTTTCCTTGTAATTGCTTGTGAATTGAACTAAGAATTATGTTGGCTTGTTGCTTTATAATTCATTGTGAAACCTATAAACTGAATGAGTAAACTTGTTTAATTTTAAATATTATAGTCAAGAATTTGAATGATACTTTTGATAGTATGAATGATGAATTATATAAAATAAAAACTCCACCTAATACAAAGAAAAAGCTTATCATTGTTACTAATCCTATCATTGTAACCATGTAAAGACGGCATGAAAAATCAGTTGGAGGGATGATGAAGTCAACTAATTAAGGACTTCTCTAGATCAATAGCTCCTATGTTGATGTTATGCTCGAGCATAATATTGGCTTCTTGTGAGTTGGTCAACTAAGGACTTCTTCAAGAGCCCCCAAGCCAATTTATGTTACAGTATAACATTGACTTTAAGCTAGGAATTTCCATTTACTTCCATAAGACACATGGGCATCTCTTATTTCAATTTTTAAATTAAGTACAATGACATAACAATTTTTTTTTTATTACTATAAGCATTTATTTAGTTTTTTAATTCAAACTTTTTTAGTTTCTTCTTTACCATTTTCTATTTGAAACCTTTTCACTACTTTACCCTTTTTCCCATGTTTTAGAAGGGACAAAACTTGGATAGAATTTATTAGGTGAGGTTGGTATTATTCTTCAATCAAAATTGGATTTTTACTTACGTAATGTCCACTTGCATTTAATGAAGACCTTATTAATACACATTTACACATATTATTGAGGTAAAATTTCAATTTTGATTGGAAAACAATACCAATTACACTTAAGGAATTGTAACTAAGTTTTGTTCTTTTAAAAATTCTTCATACCGTTTTTGTTCTTATTTAAAATGTAGTAGTGTGTCAAGAACATTACTAAACGTCATGAGAGTTTGGTCATCCATGCTAATGTGGAGAACCTTGCTTGAGCTTGTCAAAAAGGTTTGAGGTTGATGTTTGTATTGGACCAAAAGGTTGTTGACGAGTTGTGCTCTCGAATTCTTATTAATCGGCATGAGATACCTCACGAATGGTTGCTGACCACCCCTAGTGTTGATCAATGTGTTTGAGCTAGAGATCTCTTATTAGGCCATTGGGTATTGATAATCGACATGTCATTTGTGTGTACTCTGTCATCTTCATGCATGATGATTGTAAAATCATCTTTCAAAATTGAATGTAAAAATGAAACAACTTTCTCCTTCTTCAAAATCTCCTCCCCATGTTGTTTTATTTGAGTTATGGTAGGATTACCTCTCAATGTTGGAACTTACTTATCTTGATTTGTTGGGATACAAACAAGTTTTACATCGATAAAATAAGAAAAGAAATAACAACTTATAAAATACAAACATACTCTAATGATAGAGAGACCTTTTGGATAATGACCAAAAGAAAAACCATGAGGGCTTAGACCCAAAGCGGACAATATCTCATCATTGTAAAAAATAACCCTTATAAAATATCCCCTCGGACAAATACCATAAAAATAACCCCAACAATAGTATCAGAGCCACAAGGTTGGATGCGGTAACAACCCTCATAACTCATACTCATAACATATAATGTGATATATAAAGTCAAATTCCGCTGCATGAAAGGTTAGGTCCCTTGTTTGAGAGGAGGATTGTTGGGATACAAACAAGTCTCACATCAATAAAATAAGAAAAAAAAATGACAACTTATAAAACACACACATACTCAAATGTAAGAGAGGCCTTTTGGGTAATGACCAAAAGTAAAACCGTGAGGCTTAAGCTCAAAGCGTACAATATCTCATCATTGTGGAGTTGTGTGTGAAATAACCTTATAAAAATAACTCTCATAAAATATCCCCTCAGACAAATACCATAAAATAACCCCAACATGATTTACATACTTCCATAAGGCAAAAGATTTCAAACATGATCTCATTTTGACAATTCATATATGATAATTTTCCCAAAAAAATTGAGGAACAACAAATACACTATTGTTCCCTAAAGTCATTTTTGTCACTCACAAGTGTTTAATCTCTCCTATCAATTTTTTTTCAAACCACAACCAATAAGATCAATGCTTTGGATACCACTGTTAGAACATGTATTGAGCAATAGGACCATAAAACATAAAAATCATAAAATAAAGAAGAGAATAGTGAGAGAACAAATCAATCTTGTATTTGTTGGATAACCATACTATTTTGCATATTTCTCATTCATATATAATGCAAATATATGAAAATGACAATCATACATCATGTCCATACATGTTAGCAAAACACATGTATTCACCATCATTAAATCTGTAAATTTGTCCAAAATCAGATACTTAGTAGGATATTGTTCACTGAAGTAATAAGTAAACATAATTACAGTAGAATATTAACCACTAATACAAACAACCATAATTAATTACAATAGTAAAAATAAAGGAATTTTTTTTACTGATTTAACAAAAGTATATAAAATACATCATTTCCTAATAAAACTTATACAAATGTTTTATGAATAATAATTTTAGGATAGAGGGTGTCACATTGTCATTAAGTGTTGAGCATGGGATGAGTGTGTTGCTAATCGAGACCTATCCTCAGTGAGCAAAAAGTGTGAAATAGGGATATAGTTGTTTAGCTTGAATTCTTATAGGCCTATCCTTGGTTGAGTTTCTTATTTTCCAAAATTTGCTCAACTCATTTTGTTTAATGAGTTGAACGACATGAATCGATGAACATTGTAAAGGACCTAATGTATTAGAGGTAGGATCCAATGTGAAATTTCCTTCGAGACCATGAGCAAAGTGTACATGCATCATAACATTTAAGTTTGTGAAGAAGGAAAGTATGTTTGAATTTGCTTTGATAGCTTGCTGTGGATGCTTTAAATAACGATATTCCCTTTACAAGAAGCATACGAAGTTCAACTTCAGTATAGGCTACACGGACATATAGATCAAGTCCTCCAGTTGAGAATTGTTGAATGTCAAGTAGATTCTCAATCCAAGACATACAACCAATCCCATCATCGTGAGAATAGGCAATACAAGAGCAATCCTCCAAGCACTGGCTTTTGCACAAGTCAGGTTCAGTAGGAGACCCTTTTGGAAAATCTGGAACTTTAACCATTTGCAGTTTCAAAAATCCATCTTCATTTGTATCTGCACTTGTGTTTTGATCTTTTGTCCTTTCACACTGCAAACCTGTGCTCCTAATGCATCCACTAGTCCAGTTTTGTCTATCCCATTCCTCTTTTTTGCTTGGCTCAAATCCTTTCAAACAGCTACATATTGGTGAGCTCTGTGCATTACATCTCGTGAAAGGTCCACATATACCATAAACACCATAATCCGATTTTCCACTAACACGCGTGACTTTCATTTCTTTCTTATTATCCCACAGTTTTGTAGAAAATGAAGAGACGAGTAATACAAAAATTATGGGTGATCGTAGCAACTCACTGTAATTTTTATTGAATAAGAGATGGCCTTTAAATAGCCATTATACAACGTACCAAATTAACAAGAAGATAACAAAATATCTTATCAAAACAAATCTTATCAAAAAACTATCTTATCTAAAATAAAACAAATAAAACAGATAAACTAACTCGGATATCTCTAAAATTTAAGATTATCTAACAAAACTCCCCCATAAGTTTAAATTTTTTTCTTTTTCTTTCATTTCGATGCCTCTTCCACCAGAGCGCGATACTCCTCCGCGCACAATGGCCCTGCGAGCCACGCGATGTCCAGCACCCCCAGCGCCGAGGTGCTCGATGCCTCTTTTGGGACACAAAAATACCTGCTGTTCTTTGGTCCACCTCTAAACCCAGAAAATACTTCATGATGCCCAAATCGGTCATCTCAAACTCCCTCTTTATCACTTCTTTGAACTCCTCAACTAGCTCAGCTTTGCTTCCCATCTCACTCTTCTCAATTGATCCGATCTCCTCATCCATTGCTTTCTTCCATCTCTCATTAAGTACCGCCTCTTCAAATTTTATATCTTTTGTTCCTGTCAATAGACATACTACATGTAACTCGTCAGTGGAGTTGTAGATGTCTTGCAAGCTCTGAGTTCTAAGCTGCTCAGGTTCATCATCTTCCTCGGAATGCTCATTGGTTCTATCCGAGCTTCTCCTTGTTATCTCCGAGCTTCTCCTTATTATCTCCGAGCTCTCATTCTCAGAGTTTGAGCTCCCCGAAGTCTTTTCAGAGTTACTCCAGCTCCACTCACTTTCCTCATCTACCTGGACATCTCGACTTACCAGAATTTTTCCTGTAATAGGGTTGTACAATTTGTAGGATTTTGCCTTTTCATCATACCCGATCAAAATATACTTCTTGCTTCTATCATCAAGCTTCATTCTGAGCTGAGCTAGAACATGATCGTAAGCAAGGCTTCCAAAGATCTTGAAGTGATGTATACTCGGTTTTTGTCCACACCATGCTTCTTGAGGTGTCATATCCAATTTTGAATGTGGGCACCTGTTCTGTATATATATAGCAGACTACACTGCCTCTGCCCAAAACTTCTCAGACATATTCTTCCCTTTAAGCATAGCTCAGACCATATCAAGAATAGTCCGATTCTTTCTTTCAGCTACTCCATTTTGTTGGGGTGAATATGGGGCTGTGAAAAAATGTTTTATACCTTGCTCTTCACAGTATTCCATAAACTCTGCCGATGTGAATTCTCCACCTCTGTTTGACCTCAAAGCTTTAATTTTGCTTGTTAGTCTCTTTCTCCACCATGACTTTAAACTTTTTAAAAGCTTCAAATGCCTTTGATTTTTCTTGCAAGAAATATACCCAGGTCTTTCGAGAGAAATCATCTTTGAAAGAGATGAAATATTTCTTACCACTGAAGGATTCAGGAGAGATTGGTCCACACAAGTCAGTGTGTATCAGGCCAAGTTGCTCCTTTGCTTTGTACTCGGACGAGCTCGGAAAACTTGTTCTTGTATGCTTTCCGAGTACACACGCTTCACAAAACTTCTTGTCAAACTCAACACCACGTAGTCCGTGCACCAACTCCTTCCTTGATAGCTCGGCCAAACCTCCAAAGCTTAAATGCCCAAAACGAAAATGCCACATCATGGCTTCATCCTTCACGTCAAGCTTTAAGCACTTATTTTGAATGATGTTCAGTTCCAGTTTATACATATATCCGATTCTTTTTCATCTATACTCGGGCTATTAAACGATCATGTGTGTCCTTTAAATAAAGCACTCGATCCTTCATCAGAACCGAGTTTCCTTTCTCCATCACCTGCCCCATGCTTAAGATATTATTCTTAAGCTCGGGAACGTAGTAGACATTCCTTATTTCTCCAACTCGTCCATCCTTCTACATATGCCTGATGGTTCCACGCCCTTTTACCGCCACCTTGGAATCATCCCCAAATGACACGAATCCAGCCTTCACCTTGATGAGTTTGTTGAAAAAACTTTCTTCTCCACACATATGATTGCTCGCTCCAGTGTCCAAATACCAGACCGAGTTGTTTAAGCAACCCGAATCAAGCTCGACCTCTGACTTCTCATCTGAGCTTGGAAGCTCAACTGGTGATCTCACCACGCAACTCAAGTTTAGCTCAGCCTCGGAGGCACAACTCGGACGTAGCTTGGTCTCCAAGCTCTGTGTCATCATCAAAATACTTGCTTCCTCGTCCTCTTCTTCTGTGAGAAGATTCTTCTCTTTCTCTTCACTTCGGCTTTTAGCTCGGCAATACTTTGCTATGTGACCGTATTTGCCACAGTTGTAGCAATTTGCCGATTTGCATTCCTTTGCGTAGTGGCCGTGTTTGCCACACTTATGTCATTCCACCTCCGACCTTGGCTGACTTCCTTGGCTACAATTACCCCGTCCTTGTCCACATTCCTTTGCGTAGTGGCCGTGTTTGCCACACTTATGTCATTCCACCTCCGACCTTGGCTGACTTCCTTGGCTACGATCACCTCGTCCTCTACCTCATCCTTGACCACTTGATCTTCGGCCCTGGGTGTTCCGAGTTCCATTCAAATCAAGTTGCGCCTGTAATGCTTGATCAAGAGTATCCTTCATCTTCCTCCTCCTTTATTCGTGGGCTTCGAGTGACCCAGCGAGCTCTTCCACTGAGAGAAGTGACAAGTTCTTTGACTCCTCAATTACGCATGCAATGCTCTCGAAATCATCTGTTAATGATCTCAAGATTTTCTCCACAATTCTACTTGCTGGCATTGGCTCCCCATTCCTTCCGAGTTGATTAGCCACCTTCTCCACCCGAGTTATGTACTCGGATACTTGTTCCTTAAGCTGCAGTAGCCAAGAAGTATGCCAATAACCATATTTTACTTTTAATTTTTCCTGTTTGACAAAGGATAATAGTAAAAACTCAATGTTGCATAAATTGATGATTAGAAATCACAATTTTCTTACTATTGACGCGTCTTGCAAGAGAATTGCACATGTGTGTTGAGATTAATTTGAATCAGCCAATTGTGGGACATGTCTAGTTACGCAACTGGTTCAAGGTGGAGTATGAAGGTCTTTAGTCTATGGGAGGAATGAGTGGTTATGTTTGGCGGTTAATGCTAATCCTAATCTTTCTATTCGGAGAGTCTGGTGGTGTTACTTGGAGGATTTTCAAAGATGTGTTAACAATTCTTGGATGTTGGTGGAACATTTTAATGAGATTTTCTTGTTGTCAGAGCAACGAGATGGAGTGTTCTCAAATCTCCATGCTTCCAGTTTTGTAGATTGTTTAAATACTTCCCTGTAATGGACTTGGAAGCATTCAATGGTTCTTTCATGTGGCAGATGATATTTTTTTTATGTTAACCTTTAAGAGGCTTGATAGAGGTTTTTGGGACAATGATTAGCGACTAACTTTTCATGAGGCATTTATGGAAACCTTCATTAGAAGGCACACTGATCGTAATCCCTTCTTGATAAGATGTCATCATTTTATGCCTAGATAAAAGGAGAAATAATTATGATTCCGGTGTACACATGGAGATTATGCCCAGGTTGTTTTGTAGGCATGACACAAGAAGGAGGGTGATGTGTTGAAGGCACTATCAAACAAAGATTCTATCATGTTTAATAAGGAGGTGTTTGGGAATATTTTCAAAAAGAAAGAGGAGCTTGAGTCTCTTCTTAAAGGATTCAACGATTGCTCAAAAGGATTGACTCAACTTGCTTATGTGCACTTTTAGAAGACTTATTGAAAGAGTTGATTTTATTCTTGGAAGAATATCTCTGGTTCGAAAAATTTAGGGAGAAATGGGCTCAGTAGGGGAACCAAAATACAACCTTCTTCCATGATCAAACGATCATCAAATGAAAATGAAATAAGATTCATAAGCTTTGGCTTCCTTCAGGGGATTGATGCAGAAAAGCTAAGAGTGGAAGCTCTTAATTTCTTCAAGGATGTATTTTGTTCAAAAGAAATAATAAGTACAACTTTTTCAGACTGGAACTTGAATGTGTGTTAGCTCACAAAACCAAGGTAAATTAGTTAAGCTTGTTTCGAAAGAAGAGGGTTTTCAAACACTTGTGGACATGAAGTCATATTCTGCTCTGGGCCTTGACGAGTTCCAACCCTTTTTTCTTTATGATATTTTGGAATAAGCTGGGAATAATGTATGGAAATTTGTAGGAGACGTGTTTGCTACTAGAAACTTTGATGTGAGAGTTGTTACTTGTTAGTACTCTCTTAGTGTTGATCCCAACAAGAGACTATCAGTTTGGCTTACGTGATTTCCAATCGACCAGTTTATGCAACATTGTGTACAAACTTATATCTAAGATCTTAGTTAACAAAGCAAGATCAATTTTTAGATAAGGGATAACAAGAGATAAGGGATAACAAGGATCCATTTTGACTCAGAATAGCTATGAAACTAATCCTATAAAAGTTGTTTCTTTAATGAAATCAAACTACAATGAAGAATTGATACAGTAATTTTTTAACTTAGTTCTTGAATGAGCACACGTACATATATATTCTTATTTATAAGTACAGAAGATCATAAGGAGAAACAAATGGGGTCTTTGCATTTAATATGTCCAATAACAACAAAAAGTAGGCATCTGTATCTATAATCATTATGTTAAAAAAAGTAGGCATCTAGTTCTTGTTTGGTTTTAATTAATTTTAAACTATTTTACACTTAGAATAAGTTAATACAAAAACTTTAAAAATTCTTAACTTAAACCAATGAATGATTGTTGCCTCAATTAGATTCCTTGTGAATTTGGTTATATAGAAAAGAATGTTTAAATAGGAACAATTGCCACCATATCTTAAATAGTATCATTTGAACTACTTTTTAAGTTTTAACTCCAAATTGTCCAATGTGCTTGTGAAGCTAATCATGGGCTCAGTAACTTACTTTTTGATTTAAGAATGATATTATATCTCCAGACGAGATTCTCTTATTGCTTTAAATGCAGTGCACTATAATATGATTAACATTTTGTTGTAGAGTGCAAAATATACTCCAGAACATTAAAATAAAGTTGGGTAGCTTGATTTTAAGGTTGTGGTTGGAAATCACCTTTTACGTAATACCTTGTAACTAGTTTCACACCATCTAAAAGAGGATAAGCATTCCTGTTATATAAGATATCTGCGAGAGCAAAATCGTATCAGTTAATTGATCTAATATAAAAATGATTGTACTCAAAATACACCCTGGCATGGTAGTGACCAATTAAGATTCAAGATCAATTATAACAACAAAAAGTAGGCATCTGTATCTATAATCATTATGTTAAAAAAAGTAGGCATCTAGTTCTTGTTTGGTTTTAATTAATTTTAAACTATTTTACACTTAGAATAAGTTAATACAAAAACTTTAAAAATTCTTAACTTAAACCAATGAATGATTGTTGCCTCAATTAGATTCCTTGTGAATTTGGTTATATAGAAAAGAATGTTTAAATAGGAACAATTGCCACCATATCTTAAATAGTATCATTTGAACTACTTTTTAAGTTTTAACTCCAAATTGTCCAATGTGCTTGTGAAGCTAATCATGGGCTCAGTAACTTACTTTTTGATTTAAGAATGATATTATATCTCCAGACGAGATTCTCTTATTGCTTTAAATGCAGTGCACTATAATATGATTAACATTTTGTTGTAGAGTGCAAAATATACTCCAGAACATTAAAATAAAGTTGGGTAGCTTGATTTATGCCCCAGACGTCTATTTATAGGCGTCAGACCTGACCTAGAACGGCCCGTTCCAAAATCGGAAATGCCCGTTCTGGATCATACCGTTACAAGCAAAATGTGACTCTTGTTTTCTTTCCTTTATAGCAGGAACGCTTATCCTCTTTTAGATGGTGTGAAACTAGTTACAAGGTATTACGTAAAAGGTGATTTCCAACCACAACCTTAAAATCAAGCTACCCACCTTTATTTTAATGTTCTGGAGTATATTTTGCACTCTACAACAAAATGTTAATCATATT